ATGAAATCGGAGCGGGGGATCGGTTTTTGCGGCGGGTGGCCCAGACGAACCAAACAACCGCGAGTACCAGCGGTGCTAGGTGCAACCTCCGGCCCTCTGCAGGTGTCTCCATGGACAAGCCCAAAATCCTCGCGCAGAATATACAGAACGGCCTGGAGAAACCGTTACTCTACGTAGACGGTGTACTCAGAGGGCTGGGTTCATTGGGGGGATCCCTGTCGTTAACCGTGGTGCACTAGCAACGCGCTAAGCGCCTCCAGTGGATTTCAGTTAAATACAAAGAGTGGTCCTTTTTAATGATATCTATAACGAGATTGGAGGCAAACGTAGTGCGTTCTGTTAGGTGCAGGGCTGGGAATGATGCCAACGACGGATTTCGAGCTTACCGAATATGCCACTTATGGCAATAAATAAGAAGTAGAACACCCAAGGAATAGAGGACGGGTCTGTAGTGCAACGTACGGTTATCCTGATGTTGAGGACGTCGATCGACGCGCCTTACCTACAACGACGTTCACGGTTTGTGAATGAAACAGCTGGCCCGGCTTTGGCCGAGAGCCCGTTTCGGGGACATGCATACCCCACGATTGAATTGGTTCTCACGGGGATGAAGGTGGTCAAACGGGTCAATATTTAGTGCAACCGCTGGACCGTTTGGCACCAAACTCAATTGGAAGATGGGGCTGGATCTCCTCTATTAAACAAGCCTAGGTTCATCGGAACCAGACATGTGGTTGTTGAGTATGCACAGAAAGAAGTTGAGGTTAGTGAAATACAATATAATTAAAGAAAGCAGACACCCACCTCAACCACTGGATCATTTGGCACCAAACTCGGTGGGAGGATGTAGCCAAACCTCTATATCAAACGAGCGTAAGTTCATCCGAAACGGAGGTGTGGTTGTTGAGTACGAGCTGTAAGAAATTGAGGTTAGTGAAATACAATATATTTAAAGGAAGCAGACGCACACCTCAATCGCTGGACCGTTTGGTACCAATCTCTGTAGAAAGGTAGAGCTGGATCTCATCTATCGGATGAGCTTAAAATCGTCGGAAATGGATGCGTGGTTGTTGATTACATGCAGTAAGAAGTTGGGGATAGTGTCGTGTGTGAGAAGTTAAGTTGGGGTTGGATGGAATGACTTGAAAAAAAAGAATATGGGAAGGGAGCATGTTGGGGAAGGGTTGGGTGACTGTGGAAGGGTGTTGGCCCATGAGCACAAGTAAGGAACATCAGAGTGGAGTAAAAAATATTGTGTTGCATAGTAAAGAGACATGGGTGTAGATAGCATGAGGTGGAGTGAAAAAAAAAGTTACAAGTTGCAAACCAATTCATTTGAAAACTGTACAGCACCTGGAGCAAACAAATGGACTCGCGATTGTGATGATTGAGATGATTGAGAGTAGTCGATTGGGCAGATTGGGCAGATTGAGCACTTGAATTGCTCTCAATCACCTCAATCGGCCTTGGGGGTTTCCTGATGAACTGGTCACACATCACGCAGGGCAGCCAGTCCAGTAATTTTTGAAAATGTGTCATGTCTGGTAAGTTACTAGAGTACTGACAAGCTGTCAGGACCTCAGGACATACCTCAACTCTCACTCCCCTTCTGGACCTCCTACCTCCGGACCTCCCCTACCACACCTCCACCTCCTTGTTGTTGGTAACCCTCAACTTGTCTATCCACCCTCCTTCTTACTTCTGGTCTCCATCACCTCCAGTGGTCATGTACCTCCAGTACCTCCCCACTCCTACCTTACCTCTGGTCATGTTACTCCTTATTAGTTTATCATTTGATATTTTCTACAACCCCAATATTCTGGACTATGACTTCTGGGCTCCAGACTCTTCTGGATGCCTCCCCTTGTAGTTCCCCTGCTCATTCATAGATGGGCCCAGGCCTTACCATTCAGTTGATTTCTAGTTCTCCCACTCCACAACTTCAGATGTAACTTGGGCTTTTCATCTTTTCTATATTTGTCATGTGGAGTCTTTCTATTTACTTCTCCTTCCCCTTGGTAACCCTTGGTTGCCTTTGGATCCTTTTATCTCTGCTATATGTATGCACGTACCACTCTAGTAAATAGTTCCCCCCAGTTATAATATTAAGTCCTTGAATCCAAACCCTCTCCCAGGATGTCTATCGCGTTCTACTCATCTGCTGCTCCACCCTGAACCAAGAACTGAGTGACAGATGTGTCTAAAGGTGCCTTGGTATAAACCCCAATGAATCGCATGACAAACGATTGACCCTTGCTAATGCCTCCATTGTTAAGTAGTGAGGGGGGGCTTCTGGCCCCCTTCCACTGGTGGCCTCGGTTCCTCCATCACCAGCTCCCCTGACAAATTGGGGACAACGAGGACGTAATGGGCACAGTGCTCCATTCTGAGTTGCTGAAGCCAAGTCCCTTCAACACCCCATCACCCTTGGAGCTCTGCCCCACCTGCAGCCTGTCTCCGACCCACTGTTGGATGACCCAGAATATTGAGCTCTGTCAGGGCATGGGAAATGTTACCGTGACTCGCTGTTGGCAACCATTAAGGTCCGCTGTCTTGGTGTAACAGCCCATTGAGGGCAGGGTTGACAATCACAGCAAAGGGGCCCGGTTTCAGCTTCAATGACTCGTCTGTGAGCATTGCACCTTGTACTTGATGTGGCCCCAATATTTCAGAGTACAGAGGGTGCGACTGAGTCAGACAAGAAGCACAGGGGGTAACCCTAGTTGATTTTCAAACTAAGGTACGAGGTAGTGTACAACCGGTATTTAAGTGTAATGGAATGAATGGGAATTAGTCACCAGATCTCATGGAGATTGTGGGCAGCTTTAAGAAGGGATAAAAACAAACAAAGAACATGGGAGAAGGACAGCTGTGCATGGCTGTCAAGAAAACAAGAGTAAATAAGGAATGAACATAGGCCCATTGTGGGCTGTGAAAAAGGTAACAACGATGGGGAAGGGTGATGGGCTCATCCAGGCAGTGTTGAGCAGGGAGCGGAGTAGATGGGGTAGAAGCGGAGGTGGGAGAAGGGGTGGGGAGTGAGCACCTGACTGTGGGAATTTCTGGGCCATGACAAGCTCCATCAGACACACCTGCCTGGATAGCGATTGGATCTTCCCCAGGTGGGTTTGTGACACTGTCCACCTTGGCAAGGCCATCAGGTAAAGGTCTTCCATCAAGATGATCATAAACCTCTTCTAACATTACCTCTACATCATCCTCTATAGTGCAAGAGAATTCATTTTCGAATGGTACTGTAGCAGAGCTGGAATAGATAAGGTTGTTGGAAGGACACTGGCACAGCACAGCTATTGCTTGGGCTAGAGTGGCATCTTGTTGTGGGAGATTGTTGAGGATGGTACCAAGTGGAGGAGAAGTGAGGCTGGCTGTGATAGACTAAATTCACCTGAACGGCACAATTCAAAGGCCTACATGCCAATACTTATTAGTTATGGCTATATGAGAAGGTCCGGATATCTGAGTTTGCTTTTCTTGGTTGTCTGGCACATTCCGCAGGATGTGCAGAATTTTTCGATGTCTTTTGACATCGAAGACCACCAGTAGTGTTTGCATACGTACTTGAGCATCCTTTTGGCACTGAGGTGACCAAGAATTCTGTGTGTGTGCTCGACCATGATGCCCATAATCCTCTCCCCTTGATGAATGGATTCAGGGAGGACAAGATGTGGTTTGCTTGAATCATTCAGATGAGAAATCAGGCCATCAATGATTGAGAACTGGAACTCCTCAGGTTTTGCGAGGATTCCTTTCCATGCAACATGCCTGGAGTAGCCGTCTTTCACACTCATGATGAAAGCATTGTCCTCTACATGGGGACATACTTCTGCCAATGGCAGCAGTATATCTTTGAGGGAAAGCTCCCTCCTCCCCAGACTCCTCCCCAGTCGCTCTCCGATTTGCCAAGGTTTATCTGCAACTTCATGGGACCTCTAATCTAACAAGCGACTGGCACAACTTGTCACATGTGACATTCCCACAGGGGTGTCACCTCATGTACGAGGCATGTCAGTCTTGCGCTGGTTGGAACTCTGTATGCGTTATGCCAGCATTGAAGTGTTTGTGGCTTATGTGCAGCGTCATCAATTGTATAACAAAGACTAGTGTTATACAGCAATGTCTTGGTATGTGTCAGGGACGCGTCTGGGGTAGAGGAGGCCCGGGTGAGACGCCCGACACTAGAAGCCTCGCGGGGTGTGGAGCGGGCGTGCGTACTGGCGGGCCCGGCTCAGGAGGCAGTCCCTGGCCACTTAGACTGAAGTGGAAAAGGGTGTTATTATTATTAAAAGGGGATACTATGTTACTTACCTGAAGTGGAAAAGGGTGAGAAGAAGGCTACTTCTTCGGTTCCCACTTCAGGTATGTTTATATACATGCGGCTTAGGTCACATGACGGGTGCCACGTCATCCTCGCATACAGCCGTAGTCACCCGGGTGTCCCTGTGGGGGATCCCGAGGGCGTCCGCTGTGGGCGCGCGAGCTGGACATAGCGGGGATCGCCCGAGGCGCCCGGGCTGGGCGTGTCGTGAGCGTGCTGCAGGTGGGTCAATGGTACATTGATACAAGGAAAGGTCGTCCGTATAGAATAAAGAGAAAATAAAGAGAAGGTGAGATAAGTAAAGAGAGAGTGGGATGGAGGAAGAAAGAAAGAAGAAGGGGGGAAGGAGGTAGGGGAGGACTGGGTGGCGGGGTACCGGGTGAAGTGGGGCCGAGTGGGGCCGGGTCAGGCGGGTGTGCCCTGACAGTATGGGAATTACAGTATGTTCGAGTGAATTTATGCTTGGGGTGGGATCATGAGTGATGCTTGGTGGGGGCTGAACAGGGGGGGGTCTGAACTAGCAAGCGGAGGTGCAGGCACCTTCTTAGGGCATTGCGGATTAGACTCTAGAACACCGTATATATCAATATGCTAGGGATGAGGAGTAATGCAGTACTTTGGGGGTCGGCAACCAACGTTGTAATGTTGTGACACTTACATAAGCAAAACTGGCCCCGATCGTGGCCAGACGGTCCTCCTCTTCCAAACCCCTCGTCTCTAGGTTGGAAACCACGTTAAAACTTTGGAAGTAAGGAGATTGTAAGGATAGATGATTAAACCCATGCAAATATGAGTAGATTAATGGGGATTCTAGTGATTGAACTATGGACGTGCCAAACATGATCGCGTCGCATCACTCTCCATCCTTCCAGGTGCTGGGGCTGTTGCAGTGTTGGAAGCCAAGACATAATGATGTTCTGGTATGCATTTTACGTTGCGATATCGTTTTAGGTCCCCTTTCTGCATCTTGTCCCACTCCGAGTTTTGTCACCCCACTACGCTGTGCCGTTCCATGTGCAGCAGTTTCCCCACCCTATTTGCTTATCCCATTTGTCCAATATCTGTTCTTGTTCATTAGCCACTTAAAACCGTGCGGGCCATTGCAACATCGAGCTATCATCATCATTCTTTCCCCCCGTCCCCCATATTGAGTCAACTACTGAGTGCTACACAGGATAATACTTGCTGGCTATCCGTGTGAGTACCTCTTTCTGTTCTTCATTATTCATACTGCTAAAGACCCCAACCCTTGGGATGTCCTTGTCATTGGGATGAAGGTATCGGTGCGCGTCAAGTTGTTGTGCAAGCGAGGAATTGTCCCCCCCAAAGTATTGGAATGGGAAATAGACTCTATTTGTGTAGGCACTGGGACAGGGACATTCGAATTGGTATGCCAAGATGGTGATAGCAGCTCAGCAGTCGGAGTGATGGATCCAAGAATTTCGCGTGTTTGAACTGAGACTCTAGTCTGCACATTTTTGCTCAATCTATGAGCACTTTCGTCTGTTGATTCCCCTGACTGGTTCCCAGCCAGTCTAGCTCCATGAGCCTGCATGCTAACACGCGGCAACATCAATGGTGGCTGGACAGCGGAAGTCCCAGTCATTGGTCCAAAGGTTCTGCGGCTCCGAGTGGATAGTCCTGGGCATACATTCTCGTTTACTATGTGACCTCCCCCCTCTGTCTGTCGTTTATCCAAACCAGTCCTCCAAGCTTTATTAATCTGTCGGGTTTGGGGAGAAGAAATTGTTTTTTTGGAATACTTCCAAGCAGCTCTATCCCTTGGCATTTAGTAAGGGGGTATGGGGGGGTTGAGTTTCAAGTCCAAAGTCAGTCTAGCCAGAAAGAGAAGATGCCAGAGTCAAGTTGGGCAAGCGCGCATCGGTAAACCCTGACACGTGATCCCTATTTGCGCCTGTCCGGACATTCTGGGAAAGGTGAGTTCCAAATGTACCTTCAATCCCTTCCTTTTCCCTCAAATTTTGGCATAGTGGTAGATGTGTTATTTACCTAACTTTTGGCCACTCAGATTTTTCAAATTCTACTTGGTTCAAAAGTTATTCCTCGTCCATGAGGCTGTATTTTGTTGCATCCCCACATAAATTAGTGGTTACTGCAAGTGGAGGCCCAAAACTTTCAAGAAGTATTATAATAACATTGGACTATTTTTCGGTTTAGTCTTTATATGAGTACCGACATATGTTTCACTGGGTTAGGGCCCGCATCCATCTCAGCTTCAGAGCAGTGGAATGTACCTTTCCACTTCTTCAATTGACTTCAAACTTGGCACAATTACTCTATGGGTGTGAACGCAGATTTTGTTGCAGTACGATAGACCTGCCTCCTATTGGTTGATGCAATCTCCTAGAGAACTGCTGTGGCCATATGGTGTAGTGGTTATCACCTCCAAATATATGTTGGATGGACCCGGGTTCAAATCCTGGTGTGGCCACCCTTTTCAGAGTTTACAATATGTAGTAACTCAGGTGAGCAGCCCTGGGGCAGTCTGGAGTAGACTTTAGCCTAGATACAATAAGTAGAAAGGATAATATACAGGAAGACTTGCCTGGAGTAGACTTTAGCCTAGATACAATAAGTAGAAAGGATAAAGTCGACTCCAAAGTCACATGACTATCTATAGAGTGAAGATTGAAACAAAAGAGACAACTCAAACTACAACACTCCCCCTCAATCAAACTCTAATCTTCTAAGTCCTAACAAGGAACATTGATGTTGATGGAGGTCTCTGGGAAGAGCCTTAGTCAGGATGTCTGCACAATTCTCCTTTGAAGCAACCCATTGGATCTTCAACTTTCCCAAATCCACCTGATCCCTAATCCAGTAATACTTGGTGTTGATGTGCTTCATCCTCCCATGGTGTTCTGGATTCTTGGCAACTTTGATGGTGGACTCATTATCCATTTGAAGTGGGAAAGGGGTATTTTGGGGATATCCAAGTTCCTCAAGAAGGTATGTCATCCAAGTTCCATCTGAGGCTCCAGAGTTGGCAGCATAGAGCTCTGCTTCAGTGGTGGATTTGGCCACAACATCTTGACGTCTGCTAGACCAGTTGACACATGAAGAACCAATAAAGGTGGCATATCCAGAAGTGGAACAAGCCTTTTCAGTGTCACCAGCATAGTCAGAGTCAGAGAAAACTGAAAGTGAGACTCCCCCAGAATGAGATGGCCCAAACTCAAGGCAATAATCTAAAGTGCCTTTGAGATACCTAAACACTCTCTGAATGGCCTCCCAATGAATTCTGCCTGGGCAGGAGTTGAAGCGACTTAGTAACCCCACTGCATAGGCAATATCAGGCCTGGTCCCAATAGCCAAATACATGAGGCTACCAACAGCACTCAAGTATGGCACTCCCAACATGTAATCCTTTTCTTCCTTAGACATATTGTCAACCTTGGAGAGTGTGATGGAAGGATCAAGGGGAGTGAGAAGGGGTCTGGAATGTTGGTGATTAAAACGATTGAGAATGTCAGAAGTGTGTTTGTGTTGAGAGAGCCAAATCTTGTGTTGGGAACGATTCCTGTGAACTTCCAATCCCAAGATATAACTAAGCTCCCCCAGATCCCTCATCTCAAACTTTGTCTGGAGTTCCAACTTGACTTTGTTGAGAACTGCCAAGTCATTGCAGGCAAGGGTAATGTCATCCACATAGACTGGAATGATCACTTTCACCTTGTCCTTACCCCATACCCAGATAGAATTATCACTTGGGCACCTCTTGAAACCAAGATCCAGAAAAGTCTCATGGAGTTTTTGATACCATTGCCTTGGACTTTGCTTCAGGCCATAGAGTGACTTCTTCAAGTGACATACCAAGTGCTCCTTCCCAGGCTCCACAAAACCTTCAGGCTGAGTCATATAGATATCCTCATCCAGATCACCATTCAAGAAGGCAGAGGAGACATCCATATGGTGAAGTTCCAAATCTTCAATGGCTGAAATGGCAAGGAGAGAGCGAAGAGAAGCAAATTTGGCAACTGGGGCAAAGGTTTCTGTGTAGTCAAGGTGGGGTTTCTGGGAAAAACCTTGAGCAACGATCCTAGCCTTGTACCTTTCTATAGTCCCATCTGAGTTCTCCTTAATCTTAAAAACCCACTTGGAACCAACAGATTTCCTCCCCTTTGGAAGTGGCACCAACTCCCATGTGTCATGAGACAGCATTTGGGTGTACTCCTTCAAGGCAGCCTCCTGCCACAATGGCCAGTCATCACGTTTCTTGGCCTCCTTCATAGACTTAGGCTCAACAGTTGAAGTGGAGAATGCAAATTCAACCATCTCCTCCTGTGAAAGAGCCTTAGAGAGGGACTTGCTCAGCAGGGCAGAGGCAGCCATATCAGAGTCATCTTCATCAGAGCCATCATGGTCTGAGTCAGATTGGACATCTGGAGTTGGCTCCCTTGCATCCCACTTGCTAGGAGGAGGTGATGGGGTAGGATTGACTTTCCACCACTCACCAGGTGGCTTCCCAGCATTGGAGCGAGTTGTACGACGAAGGGTAGAAGGGCCAGGTGATGGAGAGGATGAAGGGTGAGGAGAGGGTGGTGCAGGAGAGGGAGAAATGGATGGTGGTGGTTGAGGAGAAGGAGGGCGATGGACAGGTGGAGGATTGGAGACAGTGTCAGAAGTCAAAATGTCAGATATAGAGTCAGACAGAGGAGTAAAGAAATTTCTGGATGAGTGATCTCCCCCTGACTCTGGCACTGGCTTCAAGTGTAAGGGGTGATAAGTGTCTTTGAGGTTACCAGGTCCAATACCAGGCAGGGTTTGCTCATCAAAAACCACATCTCTTGAGATCACAGTCTTGCCAGTTGACAAGTCATAAACCTTCCAACCCTTGAAGTCTGCTGGATACCCAATGAAAATACCTCTATGTGTTTTTGGCTCAAAACTCTTCCTCTTATCCTTCTGGACATGGACATAGGCCTGGCAACCAAAAACTCTAAGGTGGGAGAGAGATGGTTTGGAACCAAACCAGGCTTCATAGGGAGTCATGTCCTTGAGGGAAGAAGTGGGAGAACGATTTAAGACATGGAGGAAGGAAGCCAATGCATCCCCCCAGAAAGAACCAGGAAGTTGAGACTCATGCAGAATGGAAGTAATCCCTTCATCCAATATTCGATTAGTCCTCTCTGCTACTCCATTCTGCTGTGGGGTCCCCCTGGTGGTATGTTCCCTCATAATCCCATGTTCCTTCAAGAATTGGTCCATCTCCCTACTCATATATTCCCCCCCTTTGTCATCCCTAAGTGCCTTGACCTGAAAACCAGTTTGATTTTCTGCAAGAGCCTTGAACTCCTTGAAAGCAGCAAAGGCCTGTGACTTGTTCTGGAGCAAATAGATGACTCTGTAGCGAGAGTAGTCATCCACAAAGCTGATCCAGTACCTGTGCTGCTGGGGAGTTTGAACTGAGATAGGACCATGAAGGTCTGAGTGTACAAGTTCAAGAGGTTTGGATCTCCGATTGGAGGCAGCATCAGGGAAAGGAAGGCGATGTTGTTTGCCAGCTAGGCAATGCTCACAGATGTCAGGGAGAGGAGAGGTAGAGAGAGGGGTTCCAATGTCCAAGTCCTTCACATAAGATCCAGAAAATAGTTCCTTCAGCCTAGTTCTCCCAATGTGGCAGAGACGTCGATGCCAAAGTTCAGGAGAGAGAGAGGAGGCTCTAAGAGCAGACTGCACAGTTGTAGATCCAATAAGAAGTCCAGTGTTGCCATCAGACACTGCTGCCTCAAACAGGAGTTCACCATTCTGCCTGAAGGTCATAGTTGACTGTTTGATGACAACCTCAAAGTTGTGCTTCTTGGTCAGATGGAGGACTGAGAGGAGGTTGTTCTGGAGTAATGGAACATGGAGGACACTTGAGAACTCAATTGGACGTGAGGGGATGCCATTTATGATTGGAGTGAAGACAATAGTACCAACCCCAGCAGCATAGATAATGTTGTTGTCTGCAAGTCGGACTGGGGTGTGGCAGGGTGAATACTGATTGAACCACTCACGATGTGGAGTCATATGTGAGGTGGCACCAGTGTCTGCAATCCAGGAATTTGGCATGGGGACAGGAGGAGCAGAGAGAGCAGTGTGTAGAGACAACACAGGAGAGGGGGTGGAAGAAGTGTTCATAGAATTTGAACAAGTTGAGCGATTGGTGTGAAACTTAAAGCGACGAGGCATTGTCAATCGATCTAGCGTTTGCAGCAATTTCGAAACGATTGATGGAGAAATGAGATAACTAGAGTGAATCTTTGTTGAAAAACAAGATTTCACTGTAGCAGGTGGGGAAATGGTGCGATTGTCGCGAAACCGGGAACGATGATAGATTGTCAAGCGAAGTACAATGTGTATTGGTTTTAGAGCAATCTGTGAACCCGTTGAGGTGCTGTAAGCGTTTTAAAAGTCACAATAATGTTGAAGGACGATTTTCGAAAGAATGGGTAATTCGATCGGTTCGAAAACGTGATAGACGAAAGGTCGTTGTTGGCGCTATATGTGGTATAAATTTCGACACGATTTGTGCAAGCGCTGATGAGCTACCGAAGTAGTAAGACCAGAGAAAGAATTGTCTGTGTTGGCGGAACTAATGATGCGATCGATACGACAATCTGGGCGCTTAAAGCTCGACGAATGAAGAATGACGTGGCAAAAGACGACAGCGATTCGTGGAAGCGTTGACGAGCTAGAGCAGTATCAAGACCAGAGAGAGAATGGTCTGTATCAGAGGAACGAAAGATCCGATTAATGCGAGATTTTGTGGTGTTAGAGTTCGACGCGCGACTAATGACGTGGCAGACTTAGGCGTCGAACGAGGCAAAACCCAGGGCGCTATGGCAGATTCAAGTTGACAGGGGCTGTTAAGAGTTGGCTAGAGCACTAGAGAGCTGAGAATTGATAGAAGTTTGATGACAAGATGAAGTTTTCAGCCCAAAAGTGAAAATTTCGAAACAGCCCTTTAATGGGCTGGGCTCATAACCTGTAGTAACTCAGGTGAGCAGCCCTGGGGCAGTCTGGAGTAGACTTTAGCCTAGATACAATAAGTAGAAAGGATAATATACAGGAAGACTTGCCTGGAGTAGACTTTAGCCTAGATACAATAAGTAGAAAGGATAAAGTCGACTCCAAAGTCACATGACTATCTATAGAGTGAAGATTGAAACAAAAGAGACAACTCAAACTACAACAGATTTTGGCCACTAGGATTTCTGAGAATCTCCCAGATGCATGAGAAAGGCTCGTACATTTCCGATGTCCCATAGTTATGTATAAACCTATTTTAAAATGGGTTCCCATACCATATATGCATTTTAATGTTATTATCATGCAATAATTATACCAACACTTAATAGAAGTTGTGAAGTCAAATGAAATGGTTTTCGGGTGAAGCGCAGTGGCCATATTTTAGCATCACGTGAGATTTATGTTTTCTCGGACATCTTCCCTCATTTGCCGACCCCCAAGTACTTACTATTATGACTGAAACCCTGACAAGTGCTGCATCACTGACTACCTGGGCCTTTTTTGACTCGTGGCTTTGCACGAGGTTTGGAATCAGAAGAAGTACTGGCTACATGAGACATGGCAGAATGGTCATCCGATGTGATTGCCACTTCTGAGATCTTGTTGCTGTCCGGAAGAACCGCTGCCGGGGGCGAATGCCCATAGACATTGTGAATGATACCAAGAAGAGTGGTACCATGGTCATCCATCCAATTCCACTTGAAGTTATTACAAAGATCGTCAACAGTGGTCAGTGTCAGGGACTCATCCAGGGTCGAGGGGGTCCGGGTATAGTGTCCGGGACCGAGAGCCTGGCGGGGGGCAGATCGGGCGTGCGTACTGACAGGCCCGATGTGGGACAGTGGTCCCTGGCCACTTAGACTGAAGTGGAAAGTTGTTATTATTATTAAAGGAGAAATATTGTACTACTTACCTGAAGTGGAAAGTTGAGAAGAAGGCTACTTCTTCGGTTCCCACTTCAGGTTCGTTTATATACATGCGGCTTGGATCACATGACGGATGCCACGTCACCCTCGCACACAGCCGTAACCACCCGGGTGTCTCCGTGGGAGATCCCGAGGGTATCCGGTGCAGGCGCGCGTGCTGGGCACAGCGGGAAGTCGCCCGAGGTGCCCAGGCCAGGTACATGGTGGGCGCACTGCAGATGGGTCAGTTGTACATTGATACAGAGAAAGTCGTCCATGTAGAATAAAGAGAGAATAAAGGAGAAGTAAGATAAGGAGAAACTGAGGAGGGGAGGATGAGGGGGAAGAAGGGAAAGGGGGAGGGGGTAAGGAAGGGTGGACTGGCGGGGTACCGGGTCAGGTTGGGCCGGGTGGAGCCGGGTCAGGCGGGTGTGCCCTGACAGTCAGTGGTCCCGCACTTGCAAGGTTGCAGAGGAGTCGAATGTGTGAGCGGTTGAGAAATATGTGCGGCCCAAGGAAATGATCTTCCATGTTTTTCCACCACTCGGTGTGAAGCTTCACTCGAAATTCTTTGAGCCTATGCTCAAGCTCCACATCAAGTGGTGTCAGTTGCCGATTTTCATCAATTTTGATTTTGTTGGGGTTGCGCGTGGATTTTGGGATGGGATCTGCAGTGTGCATCTTTTCAGTGTGAATGGAGTCACAGAGATCACAGCATGACATAGGTGGATGGTGGGTACAGCGTTCGCAACAGAATGGCTCCTTAGCTTCACATGGGTTCAGTTTCCATGGTATGTGCAAATGAAGCAATAGATACTCACCAACTGAATTGTTTTCATATAGGAAATCAAGCACTTTCCGTTGGCAACCTTTGCAAAGGTGTCAGGGACCAACCTGGGGTCGAGAGCGTCTGGGTATACCGCCCGGGGCTGAGGGCCTGGCAGGGTGGGGCACAGGCATGCATAACAACGGGCCCGAAGCAGGCAAGGGTCCCTGGCCACTTAGACTAAAGTGGGAAGTGTGAGAAGAAGGTTGCTTCTCAGTTCCCACTTAGGCTGTGTTTATGTACATGCGGTTGGAGGTCACGTGGGGAGTGCCACGTCATCTATGCACACAGCTGCGTCTGCCCGGGTATCTCTGTAAGAGGTCTTGGGGGCATCCGGTGTGTAGGGCATCACCCGGTGTGTCCGGGTCCGGGCGTGTTGCGTGTTAATGGTACATCGAGCAAGGAAGTCGTCCGTGTAGTAGAAAAGGAAAGAGGAGAAAGAAAGGAGAGAAGAAGGAGAAGGAAAAGGGAAAGGAAGGAGGAGAGAAAGGAGGAGGGAGGATGGGGGCAGCGGGTGAGGATAGTGGGATCGTGTTAAAGAAATGGGTTGAGGGTAACCCACATCTTTCCGTCCTTATAGACGACTTAGAATCGTCCACCTCATGTATGTAGGGCGGTTTAGTCATGCAATTAGAATTATCCGATGGCCATGGAGCTTTTGACAGAAAGCTGATACCTCGCGGTGAACGGGAGCCTGCTACGACGGATACTTGGCGCTCGTTACATGAGCGTACCGTGCGTGGGTGTATAGGATCACAGGTTGAGAGAACGTCCTGAACGAGACTAGTCGAGGACATAGGGCTAGCGGGTACTTGGCGCTCGAGGGAGCATACCGGCAGCGAGTGAGATAACGACTCCTTGAGGGAGCTTCCTGAGAATCGATTGACGGGTACTTGGCACCCATTTGGGTGTACCGGCAACGAGTGATGTTCCAGCTCCTTGAGGGAGCTGCCAGAGGCTAGGTTGATGGATACTTGGCGCCCAGTTGGGCGTACCGGCAACGAGGTATGAGACTGTTCATCTGGCAGACGGTCTGTATATGTGTCAACGGATACTTGGTGCTCGTAAGAGCGTACCAGTGATGGAGGAGTTAGTCGTTCGTAGGTCGAACGACATGTGGTGGGTTCGACAGCTACTTGGCGCTCACGAGAGTGTACCGGCGACGAAGGGAGCAGGCTTGTATCGTATACCCATACGTCCGTAGAGTTAACCAGATGCTCACCGTAAGGTGAGACAGAGGCGGGCCCAGTACCTGGGCAAACGACATGAGTCGCAGAAAAAGGTGATCGCGCATACCTGAGTTGAGTCATGCACGAACTCGATGATCCGTGGCTAGAGTCATCAACCTCGGCAGGGATGACCCATATAGACGATGACCGAGACATACACAATCTTACACAGACGATACAGTGTTGGCACAAGGAGGTTTACAGTTGTTGCACAGCAGAGGGTGGTGTGTTATTCGTTAGGTTCCGTCTTTTCGGCTCTTGCCGTACATAAACGTGACGCTAACTATTGAATAAGAAATGATCGCAAGAAGTCTTGTGAAATAGAATAAATATTCCAGCCAGCACCAAAACCCGATAAGGGAAAGCTTAGCGCAGAGTGAACATGTAGAAAGGGGGGTAGCGGGGAGAAGGTAACAAAGAGAAGGGAAGATATGGAGAAGGAGGACCTGCCATGGTGGATGTTCAGTCGACACGGTTGTGAGAGACTCCATTCCTGTAACAGATCGGGTGGGGTCGGACCGGGTGGAGTGGGGTCAGGCAGGTGTGCCCTGACAGAAGGTCACAATTTGAAAGTACTGAGTTATAGACAAAGGCAGCAAGATGGCAATCCAGCTCCTCTGAAGGGGGTTTACGCTTGCGGGAAGGTTTCTTTGCTGTGCTCCTGCTCTTCACCCCTGTTTCTTGGCGTTCAGGCAGAGCGGAAGCTAATCCTTGATGCTGATCAGTTGTGCTGACTTTCCCATCCTCAGCTCCCTCATCGCTCCTTTCTTCTGCGTCGTCATCGGTTCTGCCGCCCTCACCACTTTTGGGTGCCTGGTCATCTGGGTCAATGCTCATTTCAGCCCACGCTTGTAGCTCTTCTGGGCTTGCTTCGGCGTTCAGTGTGTCCTCAATCACTTTGTCTATGGCCGGGGTATTTCCTCTTTCTCCGAGGACAGTCCGCTTTTGGGGACTGACTGTAGCTTCATCTACCGTTTTCCGCTTTGTAGGGACAGTCAAAGGCATATCTTCAAATCTTGAAGCCCAATGATCCAATTCCGGCTTACTGAAGTACGTTTTCTCAACCAGGAGGATAGCAGTTGCTTGGATTGAGGAGTCACGTCCTGCGCGCCCAAAACGCTGTACAATGGCATCAATTTTCTTCAGGAGTCGGTACTGGACAACAATTCTGACGCGACGTAAATCAAGACCCTGTAGATGAGTCTTCAGACCACATTGGCGAGCTTGTACACAAATTACTGACCATCCCACAGGCGTCTGTACAGCAGAGGCCTAATATTCCCCCCCTCTCATATTCCTCAATCGTCTCCTTTTTAAATGCATCTGACATCCCTGAATGATACCAGACAATCCGATGACGAGCATGCACTGGTATGCGGCTTCGTAAGAAGAGTGCCGTACTTTCAGCATCCACTTGTGAGTTACAGTAGATGAGGAATTGCGGAATATTTTGTCTGACCCAGTCTGAGTTGTCAATCTCAGGATTCAGTGGCACAAGGAATGCAAGATCAAGGTGAGAAGTGATAGAATACTTCATCTTCCGCACACAGAGATGGATGTTTGGCCTATCATTGGAACGACAGTAGATCATAGTATTCCGGTGTAGCCCGATTATACGGAGGGTGTCTTGGAGCACATGTGAGTGAAGTGTTGCTGATGTCAAATACCAGGATACTTCTCCCAGGACGGCATGCAGGCAGGAGAGATGTAAATATGATGATCGGAAGTCTCTTCCCCACTGACTGACACAGTGGGCTTCATCAATAATTACGCGATTTATCTTTTTCTTGATTTTTGGTTCATTCCAGATGCGCATGAAGCGTGGGTCGACTGCTAGCTCAGGAGATAGGACAACTGTTCGGAACTGCAGGCACTTGATCTCCTAGGTTTTACGTATCAGTCTTTGTGAACCTAATGTAAGTTCATTCCCATACTTCGAGCAATGTCAGTGACTCTCCCAACAGCTCTGCTGTCACTGACACAGTGCAGAATCCCCTCCGAGAAGATTCATCAGCAAGCTGCTGTCCTAGGTTCTTCAATGGAACAACAATTATCGTGAGTCCATTCTCATATAGCATGGGAAGCCAGAAGATAAAGCTCTTCCCAGAACCTGTAGCAGAAATGGACACCAAATTTCTCCGATGAACCAGTTGGAATGCAATATCACTTTGCCATCGACAAGGTCTCTGACCAAAGTGGCTTGTGCTGTCAAGCTGTAGCTGTTCTGCAGTGTGAGGCTTTGCTGGAAAGGGAGGGGTAGGCAGGGGAGGTGGCATGTGCTTCCCAGAGACAAACAAGGAACGGCAAGTGCCAAATTTCCCTTTTTGCGCCACATCTCTCCTTGACCTATTTGTTCTCATTATTAAATGGGCTCTTCCTAGGAACATCACATCACATCGCCTCAAGATCATCCATCTCTAAGGCCCCTAACTCTGTATCCCCTTTTTCTAGATCGACCTCCTTGGAATTCACCCGATAGTACTCTGCTAGCCCATCGTTAAGAATATCTGGTACTTCGGCCTCAACATGTGAGCCTGGGACCAGGGAATGGCAATGGTAGGATCTGATTTTCTTGCATAGTTCCTGGAGTGTATTGGCCATGTTAGTTGGAGTGTGCCGAGTGCTATTAGGTGTGACAGCGAAATTCTTCTCAATATTTGTGTGAACTGAGCGATATGTGTCAATCAGTGAAGACTGATTGATTATGTGTGTCAAGGTTCGGTTTGAGCCTTTGCCACAAAAAATTACCTGGGGAGTGTTACTTGTTAGTTGATCTTGGTATGATATCTACATTGACGCACTTTTGTATAGAGATTATTCAATTCTACCCACCAGTCTACACCTCTAAACCCATCGGGCATGCCTGTTGGATTGCACAACCAATGCATTTTGATAGTATGGCTCAGCCTTGCAGGGCAAGTGTCGCGTAAATCTCGAAGGAATTTGGAGAGATGTGCCACATACTTATGTTTTCCACATGCGCAAAACATCGGCACCCATATCCATAGGAGATCTTTCATGAAACCAACTGCTCCAGTGTTTGATGCCTGGGCTAGTAACACATACATCAGCCCATCCCGATTAAACAGCAGCTGATTTTCCAGCCTCCTATCGCGTTCGGAGTTGGGTAGATCCTGTAAGTCATTGAAGTTGTTTCCTGCAAAGTGCTTGATAAAGATTTGATGTGCCAGATCATCGATTGTATCCCATGCCGGTTCGGTTTCAGAAAATCCTTGCAGATCGCTGTTCCCAAGCACCTGCTCCCAGCACACTGTCATGAGGTGCATGATCCCGTCATTCAGCATACGATAACTTGGATTCCTACTAAGTTTTGTGAAGTCTCGAGGGTGGAGGGTTTGAAACAGTTTGTAAGTGCCACCTTCATTTGATTGCAATGCATGTCCACTAATATGTGTTCTCCAAATGGCATCAACAGCTGCCATCCGAATGTGGAATACCCCCGGTACTGTCACAAGCCACTGTAGTCTATTCTGACTACTATTCTCAATTGCATGGAAGAATGTTGTGCTGTCATGACGTTCTTGTGTGCCCAGGTCACCATGGCATAAACGTATGTATGAGTCATACCATTCACTTTTTGTACCCAGCTGGTGTTCAAGATTATCTACAATCTCAACGTTCCCGTCGTTGCTTGATGCCTTTATGTGCATTGCACGTGCTGGCTGCTGAGTTGATTTCTCAACACCTATCCACTTTGATGATGGCATCGGACCAAGAAGGTCCTTGTATGACGAAGGAAGGTACTCCACAATTACACTCTTGATGTACCACCGCATTGCCAGCTCTATGTGTGGGATTGACTCTCCCACTCGCTTTAGGATATACTTCTGTGATGGCAGATGCGAAGGAGTGACATCCTTTGTGCCTTGCGGATTTAATGAGCTTTTCCTCCATAGCTCATCTGAGAACCGTAAGTCATCCAGTGTTGTGCTGTGTCCCAATGGTATGAAAGTACCAGTTGTGATGCTTTCAAATGTACCAGGATTTTCTAACGTGGCCTCCTTTGGCTTGAAATCGAAATCAAGATTGTCATATGCCAGTGCACATAGACCATCCTTGGATAGATCACGTATGATTTTCTGTCGCTCGACTGTTAGTGACTTCACCATATTCATCATGGACATCACAGAGACACTCCATCCACCATGGGCAAGCACATTTATGACTCGCTCCGGTGTGTTTACTGATTCTAAGAAGAATCCTTGGACAGCTTGGAAGGCATTGCACTGGGAATTCGTACTATTTGCAAGGATTGATAGAATGACGCATCCTTTCTAGTATCAAATGTGAGCTGCACTTCATTTCAATGCTGATTGCTTACAATAGATAACAATGCACCATTTTCGGCATCAACGGCATCATTATTCTCCTCATCTGACCCTCCATTTCCACTCCTAATACCCATCGGTATTTCATTTAACTGCCCTTGTCGGTTGCGGTGGCTTTCGGGGTCAGTGGCTTTCTTGTAACCCCTCCGTCTGCGATATCGGATACTTGAGTTTGCATCCAGCAGTATCTGGACAAGGTTCCAGGTCAACGGAGCAGCATTTCTCTGCAATCCCTTGAAGATCAAATCCCACAAGGTCGGCAGAGCAAGCATGTGAAGCATTGAAATGTAATCCTGACTCAATGTCTGATGCTCGGATGATTTCCTGTCTTAGTACATCTTGGGAAATGCTGATTGCCCATTCTGTGACTGTAGGTCGAGAAGCACATAAGAGGGAGTTGAGAATGAGATGTATGCCAGGTGGAGATTTAACTGCTGCAGCTGAAGCCCGATATTCTTCCCTCTCACTGTCCAGGATATGACAGGGAAAATTAGGTAAATCATGTAGCGGGGACATTTCAATCTGCTGGAGGATAGTGGCTATCGAGGGCCAGCTCATCTAGTACAAGCGCAGATTTGATGTAACGGGGTTGTATAGATTACTATAATTATTGGCCAAGCTGGTGAGGCTGTTGTTACTTATATACAGAGTTCCAACCAGCACAAAACTGACATGCCTCGTACACGAGGCAACACCCCCATGGGAATGTCATGTGTGACAAGTTGTGCCAGTCGCTCGTTAGATTAGAGGTCCCACGAAGTTGCAGATAAACCTCAGCAAATCGGAGAGCAACTGGGGAGGAGTCTGCCTCCTCCCTTGATGATCGTCAGGGGGATTAAGCTTGGATGCCTCAAGATCCCATGGGTCCTGAATGTCTCTGATAGAGCAAGATGCAGCCAGCTGTATGCGCTGCATCCTTAATGTGTGTAGGTGTAATAATTCTCGTGCCTCTTCAGCATGCACCAAGGGCAAATTGTCGCCCTCTTTAGCAATCTGTATATCTGCAGACATGTAATTGTCATAGTGGACATCCTTGTCTGACGAGGATTCATAGTACCATGATAGGGCATCAGCCACTTTGTTTGTGCGGCCCTGTACATACATGATGTCACAATTGAAACCGTGAAAGAAATTTTGCCAGCGATGTAGGAGAAATAATGGTCACACTATGGAAACCCATTATGGAAATATGCCAGATAAATCACAAAACCCCATACAACAAGTAGATATGAGAAAATAGAAGGACCTGAATCTTTACGAATTATTACAACTACACACAATAAATTGGAAGAAAGAAAATTAGCAAAAATACTTCAAGCTTAGCATCAACAAGAAGGAATTCTCGGGGGAATTTATAGCAAATATTAAACAAAAATTTAGGACAATCGACCAAGATTTGACTATAAAAACAACCAGAGAACCTCCATGGAAACTACTTTCCCATGTCCGCACACATAGCCGAGGATGGAAGTACCATGGAACAAGGATTCCTTAGGAACCAATGCCAAATTAAAAGTCGTGTTCATGATAGGAAATGTAGGTGTCTCTCAAACGGACCCAATGAAAGTAATTACAGGGAAAACTACCCATAAATGATGGAGATATGACTAAAACTCTCGGAAAATGAGGACAACGTTTAAAAGGCAAGCGTTGAAGGAGAGAACGAAGGAAGGTCAGTTGGGAGGTTCAAACGAGACCACCACCAAGCTGTTCCCTGGTTCTTTAGTTAGGATGGGGAAGTGTACTAGTGTTATTTATTGTAAATATAGTACCAATCCAAGTGTTTTGACTAATTCTATTTTTATGGGTTAGTTTTAAAGTTCCTGGGAATTGACTTACAGATAAACCGAGCCCTGCGGAGCTGTTTCTTTATTGAAATTTCTTAATTTGTCTAGGTGTAATTCTGTGTAGCGTTGTTTAATCTGGATTTAATCTTCTACTTGGTGAAGTTTCAAAGATTCTAATCAGTTAATGGATTTGGATTGTGTCTGGAGTGTCCCTTGAGTTTGTTTTATTTTTGTCTTATTTTATTGCTTGTTTTAACAGTAGCAAGATAACTGTTTTGTGTTTACACTTTGAAATCTGGAGTGTTAACCAGCTCTCCTGTTGAAATATCTACTTAATATTTCTCTCCTTAATTGCTGCCTTTTACTACAGTGGCAATCTTAACTGTATATCACTTTTTCGCACTGGAGTGAAAACCAGAAATGCTTGAGAAAAATAATACTCTATTTTCTTACTTCTCTAAGGGGGGTGAAAAGTCGCAGAAAGGGTCTCCCTTTTATACTCCTTGGGTCGCCTTCCTTTTTCACGCTCTACGTTCTATTTACAGGATTTATTTACAGTGTATTTTTCTCAAACTGAATAAAAAATGAAATTTTCATGCTATAGTTCTACTGTGCTTGTGCTGCGCTGAACTGCAGTTCTACTGCGGTCAGACTGCGCCTAGAATTCTTATTGTCCTCCCTCGCCTAAGCTATTTTAATGGTTAATTGGAACTTGGCTGCACTGTATTTGTCGCAGTTACCTATTTCAAATTCCCTATATATACCATTAAATTTGCTATGACTCGATGATTCTGAATTCAAACTTCGCATTACTATGCGTATGGCTGTGCTGAGACCTTCAGCTGATTTATTCCAATTTTATTTGGTGACATTTAGTTAAAATGAGACTGAAATGATAAATGAGTGAATTATTCAGGTTTAAAACTGAAAGAAAAAGTTGCTAGTAGTCAAGAATTACTCAAACGAATGTGTTATAGCTCTCCACTTCATTAGAACATCGTTCCCTAAAATTCCTGCCATGGTCCATTGTAGTTTAGTGGTTTTCGTGAATTTCGTTCATATTCCCTGATTCCCCTTTGTATTATCACATCCTAATCCTCCATATGTATTGTTGGTTGTTATAGTAGGTTGTCCTTGAAGATATCATATTTTTATCTATTTTATTTAGGACTCTGGACCTCTTGAAGCTGTCTTCCCACGCGTTTTCAGGTTTCTAACTTCATGTCCTTGTATCTCATTCATTTCTGGATGTTTTCTCACGTTCTTGGTATCATGAATTTTTATTTATTCCCACCTTTCCAATGGTACTAAGGTTGTGTCCTATTTCCTGGTATTCGTTGAGTTAGCAAAGATTCGCGCGCACATTCGGTAATCACATGCATCGTTCCCATAGTCGTTTGTATGTGGGAGCCGTTTTCATTTAATTGTTCAGGATTTATGATATGCACAGGTGTTTATTTCTTTCATATGGGCTTCTGTGATTTATTTCAGATTTTTCCCTCATGATCTAAGGTTGTTTTGCACTTTCCGTGCTTTGTTTTGACCGGGCTCTTCCTTATTTGGACGGAAATTGGTCTTTGCGATCTGCCGAAGTGCGGATCTCGGTTCTGACAGCCGGTTCCCTGCGCATTGCCACCCTCACATGTCATTATACATGATGCGGATTTCTATATTCCCGTCATGGGTATAACTTCACAACGGCTGGACCGTTTGGGCTGAAAATTTGCATAACTATAGTTCCCCATTTTTAATAATTTCTGTGTAAATTTCGTTTTATGTTTTAATCATGGATCCTACGCAAACATTGTCTTTTCCCTGAGCTCGGACTTTTGATGTCGCTATTCCCGTTATTGGATATCTCATTAACGCGCGATCCTTTTATTATGAAACTTTGGGAGGATTAAGATTAGATCCCTTCCTTTCTAATGGGCTATCAAGCTTGTCTCGGTCGTTACTAGTTAATCTTCGCGCTTGCCTTTTAGACATTGTCCTCGTTTTGCAGGAGTTTTAGTCATATCTCCGTCGTTTATGGGTAGTTTCCCCTGTAATTACTCTCATTGGGTCCGTTTGGGGGACATCTACATTTCCTATTATAAACACGACTTTGAATTTTGCATTAGTTCCTGAGGAATCTTTGTTCCGTGGTATTCCATCCTTGGCTACATGTGCGGGTGTGGGAAAGTAGTTTCCGTGGAGGTTCTCTGATTATTTTTATAGTCAAATCTTGGTCGATTGTCCTAATTCTTGGTTTAATATTTGCTATAAATTCCCCCGAGAATTCCGTCTCGTTGATGGTAAGCTTGAAGTATTTTTGCTATTTTTCTTTCTTTCGATTTATCGCATATAGTCATAATAATTCGTAAAAATTCGTAAAATTCGTTAAAATTCAGGTCCTTCTATTTTCTCATATCTACTTGTTGTATGAGGTTTTGTGATTTATCTGGCATATTTCCATAATGGGTTTCCATAGTGTGGCCATTATTTCTCCTACAGCATGAAGAACAAGCAGTAATGACCGAGACGAGCTTGATAGCTCATTAGAAAGGGATCTAATCTTAATCCACCCAAATTTTCATAATAAAAGGATCCCGCATCAATGAGATATCCAATAATGGGAAGAGCGACATCAAAAGTCTGGGCTCAGGGAAAAGACGACATTTACATAGGATCCATATTTAAAACACACTACGAAAGTTACACGAAAATTATGATAAATAGGAAACTATAGTTATGCAAAGTTTCAGCCCAAACGGTCCAGCCGTTGTGAAGTTATACCAATGACGGGAATATAGAAATCTGCATCATGTTTAAAGACACGTGAGGGTGGCGATGCAAAGGGAACTGGCTGTTGGAACTGAGATCCACACTTTGGCAGATCACGAAGACCAATTTCCATCCAAATAAGGAAGACCCCAGTCAAAACAAAGCACAGAAAGTACAAAACAACCTTAGATCATGAGGGAAAAATCTGAAATAAATCACGGAAGCCCATATGAAGGATACAAACACCCACGCTGTAGGTGGGATAATTGCCCACATGCAGAGCCAGCTTGGATACCCGCTTCCACAATTAGAAAACCACTTCTATTCACATGATGACTTGGTCCGGATTTGATTCCTAAAAATAGTGCTAATTCGTACGATTCTGACGGTATCAAA